ATTTTTCCCAGTAACCACTTTTTCCTTAAGGCTATGTAACAGTGAATTACCAAAAAACACAAACTGAGATCAGTCTCAAACAAATGAGATCACTTACGTGAAAATACTTCTTAAGGAATTATACAAATTCAAGTTACTGCCATTATTGTTAGCTAGAATCAATAACAGTATCTGTAAGGTGATCCCCCTGGCACCTCTCCCTGCCCTATGATTTAAGTTGTATCTACTCAGTGCCAAAATTTTGGTCAATGTAGTAGGAGAAAGAGATCTATCAAACCAGCTATTTGGTACTGTCTAGTCCAAAACAATGGGTAGATCATTTTCCATCCAGTTATTTTGGCAAAACCAGTATGGCCTCAGCCGCTTTGTTTTGACTAAGTAAATACTTTCTGTGTCTTTTTCCACATTTAAGTCTCCATGAATCCTCCTTTGCCACCCTTGTTTCATGGAACTGTTCCTAGCTAGACCTTAGCTTACTCTTCCAAATTATTGTCTCATTTCTTTCTCTCTTTCAAACATGCTCTACAAACTCACTTTTCCCGGATGTTTTTCTCCATCTTCCACTATAACAACCATGAGTGGACATGACGATATCTTATAACCTGAGTTTTAAAAATTTCCTGCACAATGATCCTCTTTGTTATTTACAATGGGTTTCTCAAGGGTTCCACTACATAACAATAAAAATAACAATAACAATAACAACTACTACTTTTAATGAAGGCCTAAGATGTTCCAAGATCGTTGAGCCCTCATTTCCACCCTGCAAGGGCTGGAGGATGAAAGGATTTTTCCTCTGAAAGTAAATAATTTCTGTAAGGAGTCCTGCCCACAAACTGCCCTTGGCTTATGTGAAAGTGTTACACCACACTAAGAACATTTACCTTTGTGATTCTTAAGTCTTGCTTTCAACCACCAATCCGGGGTTCTGGTTAGGGCCTCAGCTCTGGAATCACAGATTCCACTCCCTGCCATGTAATCTTGGGTCTGTTGGGCCTCAGTTTTAATGTCTGTGAAATGTAGTGAGGATAAATGCACATGTAACAAACTTATGGATCTGTCTAAACTCAGTGGAATACAAACATGAAAGAGTTTTCCTTTTCTCCATGAGCTGCCTTCATAATACAGCAAACCCCTTAAGCTTCATTTTGAAGATATCCCATTGATTTGGGGTCATTTGCAGGTATTAAAATTAAAAAGTCCCATCTAAAAAGATATTTGCAAATGACATATCCAATAAAGGTCAGTAGCCAAAATACATAAAGAACTTAGACAATTCAAAACAAAAACAAAAATAATAATCCAATTAAAAATAGGCAGAAGACATGAACAGACATTTCTCCAAAGAAGACATACGGATGGCCAACAGACATATGGAAAGATGCTCAACATCACTAATAATCAGGGAAATGCAAATCAAAACCACAATGAGATGTCACCTCAACTTGTCAGAATGGCTAAAATCAAAAACATAAGAAACAACAAGTGTTGACCAAGATGTGGAGGAAAAGGAACCCTCATACACTTTTAGGGGGAATGCAAACTGGTGTAGTCACTGTGGAAAACAGTATGGAGGTTCCTCAAAAAATTAAAAACAGAACGACCATATGATCCAATAATTCCACTACTGAGTATTTACTCAAAGAATATGAAAACACTAATTTGAAAAGATATATGCACCCAATGTTTATTGCAGCATTATTTACAATAGCCAAATTATGGAAGCAGCCTAAGTTTCCACCAACAGATGAATGGATAAAGATGTGGTATATATACAATGGAATATTATTCATCTATAAAATAAATGAAATCTTCCCATTTGCAACAACATGGATGGATCCAGAGGGTATGATGCTAAATGAGATAAGTCAGAGAAAGAAAAATACCATATGATTTCACTCATATGTGGAATTTAAAAAACAAAACAAAGAAAGAAAAAAGTGACAAACAAAACAACAGACTCTTAAGTATAGAGAACAAACTGATGGTTACTGGGGGGCGGGGGGTGGATGGGGGGCAGAGATGGGTGAAATAGGTAAAGGGTGTTACAAGTACACATGTGATGAGCACTGAATAATGTAGAGAATTCTCGAATCACTATATTGTACACCTGAAACTAATATAATGTTGTATGCTAATTATACTGGAATTTTTTTTAAGTTCCATCTAGTCCAGACTAATATAAAATTAGTCTCAGGGGTGCCTGGGTGGCTCGATTGGTTAAGCATCTAACTCTTGATTTTGGCTCAGGTCATGATTTCAGGGTCATGAGATTGAGCTCCGTGTTGGGGTCCGTGCTCAGCATGGAGTCTGCTTGAGATTCTTTCTCTCACTCTGTCCCCCCAACTTCATGCCCTAAATAAATAAATAAATAAATAAATAAATAAATAAATAAATAAATAAATAAAATTAATCTCACATTCGCTTTAATGCTCGTTTCTTCCCCTGATGGGTCATTAACACTCACTTTTTTTTTTTTTAATGAATGCAGGTTTGTTTGTTTTTTTATTTTTACTATGTTATGTTAATCACCATACATTACATCATTACATCACTCACTTTTAAAATGGTCATTTTCCCTTCCCCTTTCCAAATACTATAGAACTGAGTTCCAAACAGTAAATGTGCATACTTAATGCTAAACAAAGTTCTGCTGGACTCTGATTTAGAAGTTCTGCATTTACATTCTAATCTGTGGTTCTAGGGTTTGAAATAAGAAAAGGATTAACATGGCTTTTGCCATACCTTGGGGAAGGAGAGGATAAGTCAAGAGCAGGCAAACTTTAGGAAAAATAAACATTTGATTCCAGACATGCATATACATAGTTTGTGTTAGAAAACTATGCCATAAATATCCTAGATTATTATTACGGTATAATTGAATTCCATCTAGACCACCTAAGCATTCGTCATTTCACTTCAGCTCGTTCTAACATCCATATTATTTCTTCTTGCACTAATCCTATTGACCCAGAAGGAAACTCATGCACACTGCAGTTAACTCCAGCTTCACGGGGGTGAGCAAAGGAATCCCCTGGGAAGAGGGCAGCTGCCTTGTGCTGACCCCTGGATATTATACGGACAAGACAAAATCAACGTGTGCACTTTGCTTTACACTGTAGAATGTGCTTTAACATATATTAGAATGTTACCAACCGACTCATACGTCATTTCTACTTCTATTTTACAGATGGGAAAACACTCTGATGTGTTTTACCCAAAGTGGCTTGTCTAGTACATACTGGAACTGGAAAGCAGACATTTAAAATTAACATTATCTCCTTTTAATGGAAAGAGAAATGGAGACACATACATTTCAGAGTTCAAATTTGCCTTCAAAGTTTTCCTACATTCTATTTTTGTGGCTAGTTATTCACATAAAATACATTTCTCAATATCACAGAGATCCAAGGAAAAACTATTTTTCCTGTGGTCATTGACACAGAGGAACAGAATTCACTATTCACTATTATAGTCAAAATACAAAAAAAACTTGATTTCTGGAATTAATATTTCCAATAGAATTACAATTTTCCTATTATTTCCCTATTTCCTTTCATGATGATATACAAATAAAAAGAAGAGAGACGTTTCAGAAGAAAATACCATATACAATAATTTTATAAAACTAAATTTTTCAGATATTTAAGTAAAAATTTAAGTAACATTCATCAAATTACAAAACAACCTTTTCTGAACATTAATGATTAACAATGTCTTATCATATGTATATTTACATAATAGACTAAGGTTCCTACAGTTTGTTTATAATGTTGTATTAGAGATCGATTATTTTTTTGAAGATTTATTTTAGAGAGAGAAAGAGAGAGAGCGTTGGGGGGGTGGGTAGAGAGGTGGGGGACAGAGGGAGAGGGAGAGGGTGAGAGAGAATCTCAAGCTGACTCTCTGCTGAGCATGGAGCCAGACACAGGGCTCGATCTTACGACCCTGAGATCATGATCTGAGCCAAAATCAGGAGTCATACACATAACCCACTGAGCCACGCAGGTGCCCTTAGAGATTGATTATTAAACAGATTTCAAACTCATGCATTTATTTATCCAATGTATATTTTTTGAGCATCAGTCATATGTCAGGCACTGTTCTGACTCTGGGGATACAGCTGTGAACAAGTAGACAAAAATTCTCCCTCAGGAAGCTTACTCCATAGGCAGGTATTTTCTAATGTTGCCCTTTGCTTTTTTAATTTCTAGTCCCCTTATTCCAGTCCAAAAATTCTCTCCGGTGGCGCCTGGATGGCTCAGTTGGTTAAGCGACTGCCTTCAGCTCAGGTCATGATCCTGGAGTCCCGGGATCGAGTCCCGCATCAGGCTCCCTGCTCGGCGGGGGGTCTGCTTCTCCTTCTGACCCTCCCCCCGCTCATGCTCTCTCTCTCTGTCAAATAAATAAATAAAATCTTTAAAAAAAAAGTCTCTCCAAAGCTGGCCTTCTAAGGACCCTCCAGTGGGCTGCTTTGTTATATAACTCAAGAGCGCACACATACTCAAATGCCAACAAAACCTCCATAGCTGCACAACACAGCAGTGAGTGGAGCCAAATGTAGTGCAACCCACCATCCTGCAGGAAGCAAGGAGAATGAGTTCTACCTAATCTCTAGTGCCAGAATGTGGTACCTACTTCCAAAAGGGCTCCAACACTCCTCACCTCATGGTATTTGTGCCCTTGCATGGTCTGCTTTCACACTGAATCAGGGTAGGTTTGTGTGACCAATAGAATATGGCAGAAGTCACATTATCTGACTTCCAAGGCTGAATCACAAAGGCATTACAACTTCTGCTTCATTTCTTGAATTGTGCACTCTGGGCAGTCAGTGGCCATGCTGTGAGGACATTAAGCAGCCCTGTAGAGAGGCCCACATAGAGAGGAACTGAGGTCTCCCACCAACACCCAGGACAAACTTGACAGCCATGATCACCTTGAAATAGAGCCTTCAGCCCCAGTTGAGCTTTCAAATGACTGTAGCCCCATCTGACACCTACCTGTAATTTCATGGGGAACCTCAAGTTGGAACCACTCAGCCAAGCTGCTCCTAAATTCTTGACTCTCATTGTCTGTGAGAAATAATAAATGAATTATTGTTGTGTTTAACCACTGAGTTTCGGGAAGATTTTTACACAGCAATAGACAATTAATACACAGGGTTAGTATCAGCCAAACTCTTAAAAGTGCCCAGACACTGCCATCTCATCCCATAAAGCACTTGTAATACCCTCTTTCTAACCTCAGGAAATGCACACTGGGAGTTCATAAGCAGTTGATACAATAAACTGATAGAGGCTACTGTGTAAAATATTGCAAATGTGTCAATGGTATATATTTTCTCTGCCAAAACATTTGTATTTTTAAAGAATTCTTCAGGTTAACAAACATTAGGTGTTTTCCTATATAAATCACTGTGCTGGCCCCTCTGTGGGGTGCACGAGTGAACAGAGAAGAGACTCTTCCTTTAAGCAGCTTATAAGGTAACAAAGGAGACAAAAGGCAGAATATGAATTGAGGCAGATAGAATTTGAGTTGAGATTAGAAAGAGGAAGAGAATTCAAAAAGAACCGAAGTGTGTGAACTAAGGTCCATGACTGATGAGGATGATGTCTTGGTAGGTGACTTTTGGCAATTCTATCATAACAATAATAATGAGTACTCACTTGTTGGGAGTCTATCCTATGCCAATCATCAATATATGATCTAATTTAATCTTCATACCACAATCCGTGAAGGAACTATTATCTCCTTTTTACAGGTGAAGAAACAAAGGTTCTAAAATGTCAAGCCACTTTCCCAAGATCACCCAGATGGGAAATGGTGAAGCTGGGTGCTGACCTCACATCTTTTTGATGTCGAAATCAACACAAAGTCTCCCCACTACACCAATGAAAACAAGCAACTTTCCTAAGGACTCATCAACACATGCCTGATCCCTGCATCTTCCTGGGCCACTTATGTCACCAATCTTCCCTCCAAAAAAATGCCATTAGGATGTGTTGACAGCTTAGTTTTGATTTTAAAGAAGCCAGTATGTCTTTAGACAAATCAATTCCAGAAGGAGAGTTTTGGAAAAATGCTGTGGTAACATAATGCATCTAAAAATTTCCAAGGGAGAGAAATAAGCTGTCAGAGGAAGCCCAGGGGCTCTTTGGTGAAAACACATTTTCCTCATTGCTCATGTCTAAACCTTCTGTCTTCTCTCTGCTCTTCCAGGAGCCTGACTGAGTCAACCTCTGGCAAATTTAAGCACCACATATATTTTTATATGGCACCATTCACTTTTCAACACTTGGCTTTGCATTCTGACAATTTAGCTCAAGTATTTGGATGAAAAATGAGTAGGACTGTTTTCTTCATTTACCCCCTACCCCTTTTAATACTTTTAAATTTATAATTTACATACAATAAAATACACAACTCTTACGTGGACAACTCAATGGTCTTTTACATATGTATACATCTATAAGTCTACCACCCAGATCAAGATGGAGAACATACCTATCACCCCAAAAAGTTCCCTCATGCCCTTCTAGTCAATAACCGCTATTATGACTATTCTGACTTCTATCACCATCAGTCGTGTTTCCCATTCCTCAAATTCATATTAATGGATTAATATGTACTCTTTGGGGTCTGCCTCCTTTTGTTCATCATTTTTGCATTTCATTCATATTGTTGCATGTATCAGCAGTTTCTTTGTTATTGCTGAGTATTATTCCATTGTACTTTATATGAAATACTACTGAGAAATTATTAGATCTACTTGGTCAATACCTGAGCTCATCCTTTATATTTTTGGGGGTCTGCCTCCTTTTATTCACTTTTTTTGCATTTCATTCATATTTTTGCATGTATCAGCAGTTTCTTTGTTATTGCTTTATATGAAATACTACTGAGAAATTATTAGATCTACTTGATCAATACCTGAGCTCATCTACAAAAATGTAAATACAACCACCCAGACATACAAGATACATAACGTTATTATCTACAACCATTTCATCTTGCCTTGTTGTTCCTACTCTCTCTGGTAGCATAAGAACAATATACATATGACAATTAAAAATAACCCAATATATTCTGGCTGAAAACAATGTCTGTTTGTCCAAATTAACTTGGAGTGAATATTATTTCAACTCAAAGTTCCAACCCCCAATGAGGGCTATTTCTGTCTTCCCAGAGTCATGGCTAGATGGAGGGGAAGATGTTCCTACCTTCAAGGCAGCAAGAGGTGGGGTTTCAGACAAGAACCACCCTCAAGGTCTTTGCTGGTCTGTTGCCCACTGAGAGTCTAGTCCCTTGGGTATTAGGATGCCACTCACTGTAGCGCTCGCTGGTCTGCTCCAGTGCCTCCTGCAGGAGGTTCCTACACTCAGCAATCTCCCCATCTCAACCAGTTCTGTCCCCACATCTGCATGCCCCTTGGGTCCCCAAAATTCTCAGCTGCCTTTGCTGCACCCAACTGGAGGATGATGGGCTCTAGGGGGCTTCCTTCTGACCCACCAACTTAGATCCCTCAGATATTCCTAAAATATCACCTAAGCTGCCCCATGCTCAGCACCATGATTAACACAAGACCTACCTACATGGTTTGGGATTCTCCTGTGAAACATTTGAGAAGCTATGACTAAGTCCCACACCAGGCATTTCCCAACCTTTCTGGATTTTCCCTGCTGCCCCTTGCCCACCCCCATGCCAGAATTCGGCCCTCAGGAGGGAGCCAAATCATTCCTGTCTGACCTCTTTGCCTTGTTCTCCTTCTCCCTCTCCTTTGTGATGGGGTCTTGTCATAGTCATTTCATCTGCCTTCAAACACTATGGTTTACAGAAGTGTTCTCAACTAGGGCTGCACATTAGAATCACTAGGAAATGTTTTTTTAAAAACAGCAGTACCTGAACTTTATCTTAAACCAAATAATTGAATCAGAGTCTCTAGAAATAGAACGTAAGCATTAGTATTTTTTTAAGGCTCCCTTAGTGATTCTGATAAGCGACCAGGGTCAGAACTCACTGGTTACAGTAAACCTCTGATTTGAGTCAGTCAGGCTTAACTTTTGATAGGTAAAGAGAAATTTTTGAGATGTAGAAAATCTCTTTTTGATGTAAGACATTGTATTGCTAAAGACTCAAGAATGTCAGCTCTGAGGGTTCTAGCGGGGAGGGGGGTGGGAGGATGGGTTAGCCTGGTGATGGGTATTGAGGAGGGCACATTCTGCATGGAGCACTGGGTGTTATGCACAAACAATGAATCATGGAACACTACATCTAAAACTAATGATGTAATGTATGGGGATTAACATAAGAATAAAAAATAAATAATAAATAGAAAAAAAATAAAAATAAAAAAAAAAAAAGAATGTCAGCTCTGAGAACCAAAGCCAACAAATGACTTCTTTGCTTGGGACTAAGAGAACCTATTATTTCCCCGAAATAACAAAATCCATCGATTCCATGTGTGGAGAGATGAGGGATGTTATTGATTAAGGGGATTTTTAAAAATCAGTTTAATATTTTCAAAATGTCATCCCCATTTCCTCTCATTTCATTCACTTACTATGGCCCACATTACTCCAGAAAGGAGTGGTCAGGACCCCACTGCTGTAGCACTATAAAGAGGACAAATAAACGGTCATTCGCATGTCATGACTGGAGTAACAAGAGAAGACTCTTTTCATTTATTGAACAAATATTTACTGTTCACTTGGGGTCATGTGCTTTAGTATATAAGAACTGCAGATGGAGAAACCTGTTCTCTCCTTGTAAGAACCTATCCTGAAGAGAAGGCAGCGATATTGAACTAGGGACCTCAGGCACATAATCGTGAGGGGCAAGGTGAGGAAGGACACTCTGTGAGAGTTCTAAGATGAGATGCGAGGTCAGGGCACACCCCGCCGTCCATCTCCCTCGTTAATATTTCACTTTCCCCAATACCCCCACTCCTGCCCCCACAAACACTTTTCACACGAAATGCACGGGAGCCATTGCCTCAGTCATGGGACGTTCTTCCAGCCAAAGTAAGATCTGAGGAAGAATGAAGATAAGGAGGGAGAGGTTGACTCATAGTCTGAGCAGGTGAGCTGGGTGGAACCCCCAGGGCTGTAAGAGAGGCCAGTAGGGAAGGAAAACTTGCTAGGAGACCAGAAAGAGTTGAGCTCTGAAAATAGCCAAGAATCTGTCAGAAAGGTGACAGAGGGGGTGCCTGGGTGGCTCAGTCAATTAAGGGTCTGCCTTTGGCTCAGACAGAGCCTGGGATAGAGCCCCACATTGTCTTGGGCTTCCTGCTCAACAGGGAGCCTGCTTCTCCCTCTCCCACTTGTCCCTCCCCCTGTGTGGGCTCGCTCTCTCTCTCTCTCTCAAACAAATAAATAAAATCTTTAAAAGAGAGAGAGGGGGAAAAAGAAAGGTGAGGGAGGCAGAGAAAACCAATTTGTTCTTTATAATTCAGACCAGGCCAGTTTCCCTCCAGACACTTTGAGATTAGAAAACAGGGAAATTGCTGTCCTTTGGGAAGACAGGAGAGTGATCTTTTACAACCTTATTGTTTCTCCTGTTGTGGACTTTTCTTTTGTTGTTATTGTTGCTATTGATGTGGACTTTTCTTACCAGAATTTAAAAATTCTCACATCATCTATGAAACTCAGGAAGACAAAAAGGTTTGGAGTTTTCACTCAATTTGCAGCAGATAGAGCAAGATGGGGATAAAAAAATCAAGATGAAAGTTTAGACTGGTTAAGTCAGAAGATGAAGGTGCTACACATGTCCCTATCACTTAAAGAGGAAAGGAAAATAGACCTTTCCCTTTATAGAATGTTCCCTCAGCAGGGAAAATATCCCTAAAGCAGAGAAAAGGGTGGAGAATCGATTCTGATGAAGAGAAATTAAAAAGATATTCTTTTAATCCTTATCTAGGGCACTAAGAAAACGAGCCTTGAAAATAATCCACTACACTGGTAATTACCAGCTAAATGAGACAGATGCTTTCTTGTCAGGCACCTTCATACCAAACACCTCAGAGAGAGCAAAATGAATTGAGGTAAGAAACAAAGCTAGAGTTCCTTGAATTTCA